TGTGTTTTCCCTGACATCACTTGGTATTTTTTCCTGATAACGCTTTGCTTCCAGTCCTATATACAGGCAAAAAAGTGAAACAATGGAGTACAGCGTGAGAAAGCAGAGAAGGGATTTTATTGCCTTCGCTTGTATTACTCTTTACATTAGACTGCTTACCGTGTGGTCTCCAAAGTTAGTGGCAACCCCCAAGGCTATGAATCATTGATAGAGATGGGCATGAACTAAACTATGAACCAGGAAAAAAGAAAGAAAGAAAGAAACCAGGCTAGTTCATGGTTCAGTTCGTGGAACTTATTTGGCCAAAATGAAATGAAGCACTAATTTTTTTTTCCTCTTCTACTCAGCACTTTGTTCTGCTTTCGCAAAATGGATCCATGCCCTTTCCCCCTTCCACTGCCCCCCCACAGCCTCCCTACCTGGTTCTGTTGCCTCCTCCTCTTTCTCCTCCTCCACTGCTGTCATCTTCAGAGACAGCAGCTCAGCTTCCTTCCTGGAGCCTGGTCTGCTGTCCGTGCATACGCTCCCGCCTCTCAGCTGAGAGGTGGCTCCATGTGCAGAGACAGCCGAAAAGACAGGGAAGCTGGGCTGCTGTCTCTGAAGATGGCGGTGGCAACACAGCTGTGGTGGTGTGACAGGACCAGGTAGGTCACTACTCAGTCACTACCCCACCTGGCAGAAATAAAAAAACACCACGATCCATCATGAACCACCATTTTTCAGGTTCATGCCCATTTAGAGTGCTCATTTTGAACAGATAGGCGGGGTATAAATAAAATCAATAAAATAAAATAAATCTCTAACCATTGATGAAGATTACCTCATGTCATTTACCACAGGGACAACAGTAGTTACCTAAAATCTTTCCCATTCCAGTTGCCTCTTCAGGACCCCCCTCCCCCTGCTCCAATATAGTCGTAACTATTTTTATCAAGTTTTTGCTATATGAGCTGCAGCATTCGTCTTGTTTTCCCTGAGGGGATTTTAACTCTGAAATTTGTTCTAAAATACATTGGGAGTGTGTGTGGGCAGAATAATGCTAACAACAATATAACAGACCAGGGGCCTAGAATGTATTAAAGCATTTATGTTTTATTGGAAATTCTTCCTTCAGCCTTCCACAATGTTACATTTTTTTCATGGTTAGAAAAGAAACATGAGGAAGATTAAAGCACAGCCTAAACTAAAAGTGACCCATTCATCTGTAACATGACAAGGAGAGCAATCAGTAGGAGAAAGCTAGAAGGGAAGGTAAATCATCTTCAGAATAACTCACTCTGCTTTCATAAACCAGAAGGTGGCATTTAATTTAAAAAATATGGTTTAAGGAAGCAAGAGGCTAAATTTTCAAGAAAAGTCTATTTAAAAATGTGGCTGAATAACAGATTTTTATACAAAGTATGTACTTTGCATTAGTAAATATTAATTTAATATGCATAAACATATATTCATATATACTATTTGCATCCAGCCAGTGCAACAGCACTTGTGCCAGGTGCTCAGTATCCTACAACAAAATGAAAAAGAACACACACAAAAAGTCCACCTCTGCATGGCAAGGACTGGATTTAGCATCACTTGTGTATAACACTGAAAAGTGTATTCCACAATATAAGGCTGAGTGACCAAGATCCATGGCTAATCTCAGGGCTCTGGAATGGGACCACTGGTGTCTCATGATCCAAGTCGGAGACAACATAGTCACCTGAAAGGTTGAGGTGAGGTGCCTCCCCTTTTCAGATCACATGCCAGTCCTGAATGAGACGATTTTTATTAATTGTTCTGAATGCCTGCTAAGCGAAGGCATTACTTTTATTAATCTAATATTACATAAAACTAATAAACAAAATCAGTTGAAAAAAAATCTGCAGTGCAAATACATTTACATATTCCAAATCTTTTTAAAACATACCTTTCAAATACAGCCTGTGAAGCAGCCCACACAAAATCCAAGAAAACAAACTGAGAAAGTGGGTGTATAAGCTGTGTCAGGAGGTGAGAAGGGGGTTCAGAAGCTGGGGATGGGGGTGGGGAATCAAGCTGGATAAGAAGGCAGAAATCCAGAAACGGAGTCATCAGCAAGGAGTCCAAAGACACTGGAATTCAGCACAGAAGAAAGAAAGAGGAAATGGGACAAAGAAAGGGAACATATTTGAAATAAGAAAGAAAAGTGTTGCATTGTCAGGGGAGAGGGATAGGAATGAATCCTGTCTAGCTGAGGGAGCCAGGTTCAATGCAAAGCAATTCACATGGCACAATTTATCTCTTTTTACTGTACACTATCATAGTGCATTTGAGAGATGAGTGTTTTCCCCAAATCCTCTTTAGGTAAAGTGAAAAGCTATACAATCTCATAGTTAGTCTTCTTTCTAATGTTAGCTTCTGGGGTGTGTGTGTATGTGCTCTGGGACTGTGCAGCTTGCTCACAACTACACAAGTTGGCCCTTAATTTGGGAGGCACAGTGTGGAATCAAACTCCTGTACTCAGGCCCACAGCCAGACATCCAGCTCAACAATATCACTCTCACAATATCACTGTATGGGGTCAATGGGGTATAGCAGATCATAGGACTGGGACTCAGGAGATCTTGGTTCAAAACCACACTTGACCATGGGAACTCAGTGGCAGATGGCAATGGCAAACCACTCCTTGAACATCTCACATACTCCCCCCCCACAAGCCCCAACAACAGTATCACTTTGCTTTTTACAGCATGTATTATGCTAATGAAAATCAGCTACTAAATAGAAGTGGTAGTTTAAGTTTACCCAGAAAAAGACAGCACTTGTACAGAAGACCACTCTTATACACTTTCCACAGGTTGTGTATGGGATATGCTCTTCTTGCTGTAAAGAAAGTTGAACGAGAAGTCATTATTTGGATGTTCAGCATCGTGTCTGCCATTTTAAAAGGAAATCCACTTTTTCACTTAGTGCTGAGGGAAACTAACCCTTTCCAACAAGTATTCTAACTAGAATACTTCACACTTCTTGCTGGCTAGTAATTTATTTAAGTTAAAAATGCCATTCTCAATCTCTCTGAGATGGATCAATGTAATATTGGAAGGCTTAGGTCAGTGGTCCTCAACCTTGAGCCTCCAGTTGTTCTTGAACTATAACTCCCAGAAGCCTTCACCACCACCTTTGCTGGCCAGGATTTCTGGGAGTTGAAGTCCAAGAACATCTAGAGGCCCAAGTTTGGGGGCCACTGGCTTAGGTGGTACAGTTACATAAACCCATAAATCTAAAGTTCTCAGGCAACAGGTTCCCCATCCCCCATGTCATATGGAAATGACTTAGGAACTGGGTAGAGGGAGACTTTTAAAGTCAGTTTCTTATATACTCTTAAAATAAAAGGAAGAAAGGCAATTGTCTCACTAGATTCTCTGGAATCAACTAGAGTAATTGGGTTTTTTTTGCCTTTTTTGTAATGTGAAAATAGACACAGAAGTTCACTTTTCTCTCTCTCATTGTCTCTTTCTCGGCACAACTCACAGTTACACATTTTAAAAGAGAAGTAGGAATTGCTAAAATAGATACTTCTGAGACTCATTTCCATATTACAAATGGCGGTCTTGGTTCACCACTGACAATTTCATATTTAACAAGACTGTATCAAACCATCTCTGGGGCCTCATCCTAACCACATACATTTCCATAAATTCAGAAGTTCTGAACCGTAGTCTAAGAGGGCAATGAAAAGGGAAAATACCAATTATGATAGTACTGAGCTTTGCCAAAATAGTCTGTTCCAAATAGTCTGTAAAACAATATTTTCCAACAAGTCTTTTAAAGAAAATTAAAATACAAGGGTAAAAAGATACTTTACTTGTGTGATTTCATTCAATACTACATGACGGCATCTTGCTTCATATTCTGGTCGGACTTGCTCTTCTAGCTCTAGGAACTCAACTGTGTCCCATTCATATTCCAGTTCAGCCTGACGCCGTTTCCAAAACTCCAGGAACAAAGTAACTAACCAAAGGTTAAAGAAAATACAATAATGTATGAGCACGCTTTGAGAATTATTCCTGGTTGTTCTATATAGAGATGGAGTAGTATCTTGATGGATGATGAAATGGCCCTTAATTTTTATGAAGGAAATAGTGGAACCCTTATCACATGGATTGATAGACTTCAGACATCAGTCAAGCTGGATTGCAACCAAGAATAACATCTACTTGCAAAACTCACCTAGCAACATAATAATTTGGAATTAATTTGACTTTGACTGACCTGGTGAATTAACAAAATTTATCCCAGCTTTAGGATGAAGATTGCACAGTTTCTGTGTGTACATGACTGAAAAATTCTTAAAGTATACTTATTTTATTAACAGGAAAGTAAATACACAGATTAAATAGGAGGAGTTATAGACCTTGTACATACTGGCAATGCAGTGAAACAAAATTCTTTTTAAATAAAAACTACAAACACCAAATACAGCATAAATGAAGCCAATGGGATATTTTGATTGAGGAATCACTATTTGTATTCGCTAAGGCTTTCATGGCCAGGATCTAATGGTTGCTGTGGGCTTTTCGGGCTCTTTGGCCGTGTTCTGAAGGTTGCTCTTCCTAACGTTTCACCAGTCTCTGTGGCCAGCATCTTCAGAGTGCTGTCCTGTGAAGATGCCGGCCACAGAGACTGGCGAAACGTTAGGAAGAACAACTTTCAGAACACGGCCAAAGAGCCCGAAACACCCCACAAGAATCATTATTTATTTATTTGTCTTCCTGAGATATCTTGACTGCTTATCAGTGTTGCATGTTTAGCGTATTTATCTACTAAGAAAAGTAGTTGGACTAGAACACCCATCGGCCTTCACTAGCATGGCAAGAAATGATGAGGATTACTAGGAGTTACACTCCACCATCTGGAGTGCTCCCCTTTGCCTATCCCTAGGTCACAGGTTAGTTTCACCAAATGGCTGCTTTATGAAGTACTAGCAAGGCTATCCAAACCATTTACAAAAATACCCTGCAGTTGTGTATAGCTATTTTTAAAAGCAGCTTTAAGGAAGGACGTGCACTCACATCCTCTCCAGCCCATAAGCACAATCTCATTATTTGTTTTTGCGAGAAGAAAAGGATGACTCAACCAGATCGCTGCAAGAACTCGGTGTTCGTTATATGTATTACTTCTGGGCTGATGTCATTACAGTACAGCACAAGAGAGAGAGAAAGTTCTAGGCCACAACTTCATATTCTTCACGAGATCAGCTATGAGTGTAGGAAGGGAATGACATGCCACCAAGTTGAGTTTTTTTCCTTCCTACTGTCTTCCTGGAAGGCAACTGAGGGCCACCTAGGGAATGGCTGAGTGAGAAGTGCCTTCTCTGAGGCCAGAAACATGTTAGAGGTAGCCCATAACCAGAACTGGAAGCACAGTTAGGTTTGCAGAGTGGTGACAGAGGCAGTCTTCCTATGTCTGTGAAATCAAACTTCAAATGAATCCCATGCTTGAATCCTGATGACAAATCACCAAACAATACAAGGGAATCTGCACAATCCCAGAGGTAAGAGAACCTTGCGCCATGATAGACATTCTTATTATTTAATGATGATGATGATGGGACCTTTCCAATCATGGGCTATCTGCAATGTCTGTTTCTGACCTGGTGTCTTATGCTGATCAGGTTCTGTGTATATAGTGGAGCTGGAGAAAGGAAATACAGTGGTGCCTCGCCTGATGAGGATAATTCGTTCCATTCAAATCACTGTTAAGGGAAATCCTCGTCAAGCGAAACGAAAAAGCCCATTGAAATGCAGTGAAAACCGGTTCAATACGTTCCAATGGGCTAAATACCTCATTGTAAAGCGAAGATCCTCCATAGGGCAGCCATTTTCCGGGGCCTGTCTAGCGAGGAATCCATCCTAAAGCACAGCGGGGAGCCATTTTGCACAGCGGTCAACCATTTTAGAGCCGCCGATCAGCTGTTTTAAAATAATCGTCTAGCGAAAAATCAGTTCCCAAAGCAGGGAACCAATCATTGTGAAGCAAATTTTTCCTATTAGAACAATCGTCAAGTGGTTTCGTCATTCAACGAGGTAATTGTTAAGCGAGGCACCACTTGCAATTATGTCCCCAGTTTTATTTGTAAGCTATATAAGCACTTCAATTGATTTTATCATATCCATTCATGGTTCAGGTTTTCATGCACATATATCTGACGTGGTTATGAACACAGAGATATTTTGAGATGAATATCTCTGCATTGATATGGATTAAATAAGGAAATTTCCCTCCGCCATATACTTGAAGCTAGATAGCTCAGTGAGCTTGGGTCTCTGACTGCAGAGCCAGTGGTTAGGAGTTAAATTCCTCTGCAAGCTACACAGTCCCAGGATGCCTCCAGAAGAAGGGGATGGTAAACTTTACTGAGTACTTCACTTAGAAAACCCAGAAAGGGTCACGATAAGAATTGACTTGACAGCACATAATGAGGATGACAACAACATATTTGAGATTAGCTTACCCCATACTCCCATAAATACTGCAAACACTAGTGTTCCAAAGCTATCAAATATGCACAGCTTCTGAAAAACATCAAGAAAAAAAAGTAGCACATCTTAAAATGCTGTATCTTCTTTCAACACATTAACAATAACATAGCCTGTTATGGGGCTGTTATTAAATTCAACGGTAGTCTAAGAGAGCAACCGATGCACACAAAACAGGCTTCCATATGTGGAACTTCTTTTATACCACACACTTCATATATCTCGTGTCCAACCTTTGTGGCTCTGAGGTTGATACTCCCGCACCTTATATTATATGCAGTGCCAAATAGGAAGTGCTCATCATCTGTTGTGGGGAGAACTTAACCAGCTGAAGGCACTGACCATCTGTTTGCTAGAAGGAAGAAAGCAACTGCCAGCTGGCAGAAATGGGTGTGCTGCCTGAATAACAGCCTCTAGTCTTATATCCCAATTCCCCCCCAAAACCCCAACTTTACATTTTCTAGTCTCCTTCAGGTTTTTATAAATCTGAGACATATAACACCCGTCCAGTCCAAAAGTCCAAATATGTTATCCTTTTTTTAAAAAAAATAACACCCTGAAAAGAGCAACAATTTTTCAGTGCTAAGAACACTAAATGCAAACTTTAAAAATTAGAGCAAGCTAAAAACAACGAAACATATGGATTGCTTCAGGCTGGATTCAAACGATATTATTCTTGTGTGCTGGAAGCAACTATCTGATGATAATATGATTATGTAGAGTTAATGTCACAGATCAGCTGTTCCAGCTGTTGCATTCTTATCATATAAACAAAAGATCAACCAGTAGGAAGCAGACTGTAATATGATAAGCTTATCACATGAAAAGCAAGGTAATGGTAAGATTGTTTAACGGTAATAACAGAAGTTTTGAAATGTTTCCTGTCCTTGATCTCTATTTTTTAAATCATAGTTACACTTTCCATTCCCCTCATTTTATCATCTTAACATGAATCATTAAATTAACAGAAAGGATGGTCTAGTACAGTGCTGTTCCAAGCCCTTGGAAAGGAAGCTCAATTTCATAGACAAACATACACAACGTGCAGGGGACTTACTTTTAAGAAAGCTAGGAATATGACACTATGTGCAAACTTGCTTGGAAAGTGGTTAAAAAAGAGAGAGAATATTTACAGTACAGTGGCTTCCATTTGTCACCAGGACAATTTCTTGTTCACAAGGCGCAAATGAGTCTGCATTGAGCAGCCCCAAAAACAACATCTCCACAGGAACAAAAACAAAACTTCCAGGCAAGTGAAAAATGTCTGTTTGTTTGAATATTTAAAAAGGAGTCCTGTAAACTGTTTCTCCCCCTCATGTTGTTTTGTTTAGGAAAAGGTGAATCACAGAAGCTCCAAAAGCGACAATTGATTTTTTTTTCACCAAAACATTCCCACCCAAGTGAAAATACCTATGCCAGGTGTTGGTGGCCTGATTGCCCAGCCTCAGGTAAGGCATGCAGGTCTTGGGAATCCACAGATCCTGGTTTCTCATGTCATGCCCCATTCACAGAATGCAGTTTTTGGGAGACCTACCAGGGCCAGATAGATGCCTGTGCACCTTCTACAGGTGTATGAGTGGAGGGAAATGGTGGATATGTCCCCCATCATCATAGGAGTTTACTTCCATTTGAGGAAGGGCACCCTGCTAGCCTCACTCACACAGTTAAGTCAAGTGAGCACTGTTACATATCCAGACTCCCTTACATGTTAAGGAACTTCAGGTTGTTTGCTCTAACTGCAAGCCCAACCATGACTGTAAGACTGTAGTTGGTGAGTTTCATGTGCTTGCTTTCTCTTCATTGAAACTGTTGGTGTATCATGACATGGTATTTTTCTTTTTTTACACTCCATATTTCCAAATTCATTTTAAAATAAACATTCATGGTCTCATGAATCCCCTTGCACTGCATTTTCCTGACATGGTATCTTTCTTTTTTTACACTCCATATTTCCATATGTCTCATGAATCCCCTTGCACTGCATTTTCTTATGCTGCAAGATAAATCCATTACCTTGGATGATTCACAGGTGATTGTAAGATTCCAGTATGTACATTCTTTATCACACTGTGGGCACATGATGATGTTTCCTCCCACGTTAGGGTCGCATACCTCTTGGCTATAAAAAAAAGTAACAGGGAACAAGTTGCTACTCTCAGTGGTTTAACAATCTCTTGTTACTCCCCACCATAGTTTCTGAGGGTCCACTACATTTAATCCAAACTGAATTTTCATGTAACACTCTTGTTTACCGATTAAACTGTGACCCTTTTTAAACAGGAGAAACAAGGTCTAGAGCAGTGGTTCCCAACCTTGGGCCCCCATATGTTCTTGGACTAAAACTCCCAGAAGCCTTCACCACTAGCTGTGCCGGTCAGGATTTCTGGGAGCTATAGTCCAAGAACATCGGAGGACTCAAAGTTGGGAACCACTGATTGAGATGAACAGTCAAAGTAAACAACAGGGTGGAAGTGGCACCTCCTCCTTTCCCCATCCATTGTTTTTCTATTCCAAATTCTATTCAAATTCTCAGAGTTGGGAACCACTGGTTGAGAGGAACAGTCAAAGTAAACAACAGGGTCGAAGTGGCACCTCCTCCTTTCCCCATCCACTGTTTTTCTATTCCAAATTCTATTCAAATTCTGCTGAGTGGATTCTTACATTTCAGTTCCAAATGTATTTTGGGCTCACATAAGTAAATCAAAATAACTTATATTCTATTACTCTAGGCCTACAGTCCCAAAATTTCTAAAATAACTCCACTGGTTTGTCTAAAATAATTCCACTGATTTGCTCCTTTCCAGCAATCTGCTAGTGTTGATTTTATTTTATTTCCATGAGTGTTGCAATAACGTATTGCCAGAAATCCTGTTGCTTAGTGTAGTAAATGGCACTAGAGTGGGACAAATCAATCAGTGGGAATGTGGTAACTTCCATGGGTTCAAATGCATCTCCTCTAGTTGTGACTTGCTATGCTAAATTATGTTACAGCTACAGTAGACTCATTTGATTCAACATAACTTACAGAGGCGTTAACTCACTGAATTCTGACTGATTCAACAGGCCAACTCTAGTACCATTTACTACACTAAGCAATAGGGTTTCAGCCACTGATTCATAAATCAAAGTATTGTCAATACTGGATTATTAGTTTTCATTAATTTCAGCCATGGTTTGGATGAAAAGCTGTTGATGTGCAAGATTTAGATTAAAAGGTACAGATTTCTTTTCATGCTTATGTGATGTCCAAAAGAGAGGATGGTTAAGAATCTCAACAGGATGTTACTTAAAAGAACTATAATATAATTCAGATGAAAGAAGTCCTCAGGGCACTTATGATAATGGCTTGTGAAGATTAGTTGTTTTAGCTTTTTTAAAAAGCTTTTCACATGGCATGTTATTGCAAATGATTTTTAAAATATCTTTTGCTAATCTTTCCAATAACATCCGATAGCTAGAAAAGTAGCATATCCATGCACTGTACGAGTTATTATGAAATAGGTACTTATATAATCTGACATGTGCCTGCTTACAATCAAAGGCAGAATGCTCTGGGTCTGCTAGCTAAAAAAGGTGAATAAACCCCTCCAATATCAGAGAAGAGTTTTACTGGCAGGTGCGTATTCACCCCAAATTGCCTCCATTACATTTGTGGAAAGTGTACATGAATCCACCATCTCCAGAAGTGCTTCAACCCAAAATTCCAAAAATCTTTACGAAAACTTGGTAAAGGAGAAGCATGGAGCCATTTCCATTCACCTGCCCTGGCTAGCAAGGGAAAACAGAGTTTTAGAAATGTTGACCATCTGTCACTTTACTCCTTCTATTCCACTTAAGATTGGTCTGCCAATTTGACTAAATTCAACAAAATGTTGTCCTACTACAAAGGGCTGCAGCTTGGATTCGCTGATCTGAAAGAATGCATTATCATATATGAATGGTCTAATCTATGACTCTGCAACAACTACACAGGAAAATAAACAACTGACCTAAATTATTAATTGAAGGTTACCTCCAAGTGCAGTTGTCCCTCATGAAATAGCCATACAGAAAGCATCCAAGTCCAACGATCGCTGCCAGGACTAACATGTGAGTATAAAATCCCAGCCAAGCAAAATAGATTCCAATTTTCTCACCATAATATTTCCTGTGGATACAAAAACATGCTCTGAAACCACTCACATCTCCTCTCTTTCCAAAGAATTAAGAAAAACAATTCCCTTTATATTGTATAATGGTAAGCATGAATTATTGTACAGCACCATCACCTTTTTCTATGTTCAAGAATGAACTTTGATTGTAAATGCAGAATCCATCTTTTCTTCTAGCAAAATGTATTCTCTCAACATGTAAAGATACAGGAATAGAGAAAACTTCACCAATTTATATGTTTCTGATCCCACACAGATGAGTAAAGGCATGGAAATTTGCCCCAAAGAACCTTACCTGTGCACACCATAAATGAGAAATCTACTTGTGTCATCCACTTGTTTATTATTAGCATATTCTCTACAAATATGAAACTTCCTTATCCTGAAAAACTGCTGAAGTTCAAATTTGGTTCTTTTGAAGGACCAGTTCAAAATTTTTTTAATTTAGGGTTAAGATTTACTAGCTGCATCCCATGCAGGTTGAGTTGCTGCAGCTGATCCTCTATATTTTTAAAGTGTTTTGCATATATTTGCACTAATATTACAATATTGGGACAAGGCAGCATATAAATATTAATACTGTATGTGTATTTAGTTATATTCATATTCATGCATTGTAATTACACAGATTACAAGTCATTCATTATAATTAAATTATAGATTTATTCATTCTAAACGGGACTTTGGCTCTGATTTATTATACAAAAATGTATAATAAGCTATCTGGAACATACTCTCAAACATGTTACAGGCTAGATCATAATACAGCAGCAAACTGAGTCTTTGAGAAATTTAAAAATGGGATGAATAAACTGGTGGTTTTTTTCAATTTTAAGAGAGATGGAGAAAGAGAGTTAGCATTTAAAGTAGTACTCTTGTGCAAGGAAAACCATGTCAAATGCACTGAATCATCATTTTTTATGATGAAACCCTCTGTAGACACAGCACAAAATAATTTGCACAAATACACAATAACCACTCTTGATGATTGATCTTGTATTTCACTTATTTTCCCCTAGTGATGGATGGAGTGAAAAATTTCATGGGTTGTGGTGCATTAACCCTTCTGATGCCTATGAACACCCACCTGACAAAATCCAAGGGTTGCAACTTGAAAATATTTCGAGGATGAGCCCACTCCCTGTATAGTAGGTACCGTTCATTTGGGCAGCTGGGCTCCTCTGACTGGTGATTGAATCTTGACTGAAAAAATAAAACACAATTCCACTAAATGGATAAAGTAGAAACCATAACTAAGTGAAAACACAACTCATCTCTTTTAAATTAGTTCATGCTACAGTGATCCTAGAAGGGTTTCCAAGGTATGTGAGATGTTTAAAGAGTGATTTTACCAGCACCACCCTTAAGTGAGTTTCCATGGCTGAGTGGGGATTTGAACCCAGTCTGGTCCAACACTTTATTCACTCCACTCCACTAGTTCTTCAATGAGAATGATAGTTCACAGCATGGTTAGCCACTCCTGTTTTTAAATTTTGTTTTTAATCATTGGTCTTAATATTGATAATTATTTAATTGTTTTTTAAAGTAGTTTCTTTGGTATTTTAAAACTTTATTGTACAGTTCTAATTGTTGTGAGCCACCTTGTGTCCCTTATGGGGAGAGAGGTGATATATAAATATATAAAATAGTCATGTCAGTGTTTTTTTAATGTTGTGTAAATCATTGTGTGTCAATAGTTGCTTGATATTGTGGGGTTGTCTGTAAGCAATGATAGGCCTGCCACCAAGGGCCTGGGAGAGTGAAGTGTTCTTGTCAAAGATGGGCTGCAGATCTTGTGAGTAGTTTCAGTTGTGCTTCAGTGCTTTGGTAACAATTCGACAGCACATTCTTGTTGTTTAGTCATTAAGTCGTGTTCGACTCTTCGTGACCCCATGGACCAGAGCACACCAGGCCCTCCTGTCCTCCACTGTCCAACCATCTCGTCCTCTGTCGTCCCCTTCTCCTCTTGCCCTCACACTTTCCCAACATCAGGGTCTGTTCCAGGGAGTCTTCTCATGAGATGGCCAAAGTATTGGAGCCTAAGCTTCAGGATCTGTC